ATTATATATATATATAATCATTTACGCATTCGCCGCACGTTGACCGGTAGGCTGGAGGCTAGATTTATTCCACTTCTACTCGTCGTACTGACCAAACCGTCAGTGCAAAACTACTATCGGCGAGTAGTAGATAGAAACCATATAGCTGCAGGGTAGTAGTATATTATATAGTGGCAGGTCTCAATCATTCCCTGGACGTTCTACGCCGAATATTCTCCGTCCATCTCGCGGTAGATTTGTAAAGTCCTTTACCTTCTTTTTACCTTCTCTCGGTGGTTTCCCGCCTCCGTCGTGCTCGCTATCACGTCCGCGCGCAGGAAATGTACACGCATATCTCAGCGAGCGACAGGTTCCCTTCGTTTTCGTCGTACATACGAACCACCCGTACACCGACGACAGACGCACGCACGCACGCACGCACGCACGCACGCACGCACGCACGCGTGCACACGAACACACTCGCGGCCACGGTGGTTTACAGACACCCGGGATGGATCTTCTAATGCAACTTCTAACTTTTTCGTTGCGTAATAACAAAAGTTCACAATAGAAAATTTCTACTAATCTAAAAAATCATTTTTTATTATGGACTCTTGCTAATATGTACGGGTAAGAGTTACCAGTTGATCGTAACCGGTAAGGGAAATACACCGCCGCTGGCTAGGGCGCATAGCGACATAATTATTAACGTTAAGTGCATGGTGGAAAAATTCTTAGTGGTGAGAAAATTCCGATCAGCGTAATATTTCATATGTGCACATACGTGCTGGTGTCAACTCTTTGTCGCAGCTCTTTACACATATTCTCTCTCTTTCCTTCTCTCTCTCTCATTCTCGTTCTATCTTTCTCTCTCTTTCTTTCTCTCTCTCTCTCATCTCTCTCTTTCTCTCTCTATCGCATCTCTATTTTTCTCTTGTTGTCCTTCCCCTTCGCTCACTCATGCTTTCCCTCTGTCCGTCTGTCTGTATCTCTAGCTTGGCCTCTCTCTCTCTGTCTCACTGAGTGTGTGTGTCTCTCTCCCGGTGTGTACCTCTCTCTGTCACCGGCTGCCAATCTGTCTCATTCCTCTCACACCGTCTCTCCGCCCCCTCTCCCACCGCCTCGCCCACCCTCTCCCGCCGCCTCGCCCACCCTCTCCCCGCCGCTGTCACTCTCTCCGTCGCCGCCGCCGACTTTTATAAAGCTTTTTGACAATAACGATATCGGATGCATCATCACCGTAGCAACGACAGCATCCCAGTCACACAGTTTCCCGCATCATCACCACCACCGCCGCCGCCGCCGCGGCAGCAGCAGCAGCAGCACGTTATCTTGTATCGCCACGCCGCACGCCTCTGCGGGGATTTGCGACGCGCGCGCGACGTTTTTATTTACTTTATGCGTTTCATATCAGCGGCCAAACAGGCGGCGACGATTTTCAAATATTCATTATGCTTAAATAACAACAATCATGGGGATTAGCGGTGGTCGCGCGCGCGTGAGGCAGCTTATGCCTGCAGTTATTTGTAAACGGCGGCTATCAGCGACGGACACATTTTCGTTTCGGGTGGAGATTTGCGAGCGATACCTACGCGCGCGCGAATATTCAGCTTAGTTCAATTAATTCGCGCTCGAGAGAGAGCGAGAGCGAGAGAGAGAGGGAGTGATATTATAGGATATCGGCGTGCATAATTGATACTAAGTAGTCGGTTTTGGTGACGCCCCGAACCGCTAACGCCTCACGCCCTTTGTCTGTTATTGTTTGTTGTTTAAGCGCGGATTCGGCGAGCGAGTGAGTGAGCGGCGAGACACGCACACGCACGCACACGCGGGGCGACGGAGGTTGATATAGCCGACGCGTGTTTGCGTCGTTCGCGCATTTTACTTCAATCGCGTGCGACTCCGCGGTCGGCAGTGCGCGCGTGCGTGCGTGCATCTGTCTTCTATCTGTGCGTGCGTGCGCGTGTGTTTGTTCGTGTGTGTGTTTGCTTACGACGACGTCCGCAGGCGTCGCCCGGGATTGTGTACCCGTGCGTGCGTGCGTGCGTGTGAGCGCGCGCGATAGCAGCCCTGTTAATACGACTACTGCTGCTTTTACGTTGTCAACAACAACAACAACAACAACGCGCGTGCGTGCGTGCGTGCGTGTACGTGCGCGTACATACAGCCGTGGACGGCGCCGACGACAATAGTGAACTAGATAAACAACAACAAAAACAACAATAACAACAACAACAACAACAACTACTACTAGTAGTAGATTACTAGTGTTGTGGTGAACTGTGCGAAAATAACTACTAACTATGAGGTTGTGGTGAACTCGTAAAACTAAACATGGCCGACTTCTTGTTTCTAGCACGCGTCGCCAGCGCACAGGTGTGCCGACCGCACTTCCACTCGCCGCTGCATCCGTGGACGCTCGCGCCGGAGAAGCCCGTCGTTCCGCACGCGCACACGGCCGGCGGCCACCCCGTGCCCTCCGCCTGGTGTAACCCCTACAAGAACCCGCACCACCCATCTCCAGCCGCGCAGCTGAGCAGCTCGATCGCAGGCGGCCACCACTCTAGTCCCTACTACGTCAGCTTCCCGCCGACGCCGCCGAAGGACATCAGCTCGGAGAGCAACATCGAGCAGGCCGTCACGACGGCGTACGGCAACGGCATTGCCGAGCAGGCGGGCCTGGCGGCTGACAAGCAGCACAAGTACAGCCGAGAAGGTACCAGCACCGGCTCGCTTAGCGCCCTGCCCGATAACCATGGCATGCTGCAGCCGCCGCCGCCGTCGGCCGCCTCCTCCGCCGCCGCCGCCGCCTCCAGCTTGGCTTCGCAGCATCACCAGAGCTACCCGCCGCATCCGATGCCGTCGTACATGTCCTCGCACTCCGACTTCGGTCCCACGTCGCTCAGTCACGTCGGCTTTCATCCTGCCGCATCCGTGTTTAGCGCGAAGACGCTAGCTAGGACGAGAACGAAAGCACGCTCGAGCACCGGTAAGTGTCCGTCTGTTTCCCGCTATACGTAGATGTCTATTTATTTATTTATTTATTTATTTATATATATATTTATATATGTATAATTATATATATATATATATATATACACATAAATATATGTGTGTGTATGTATGTGTGTGTGTGCGCGCACGCGCGTGTGTGCATGCGTGCGCGCATATCTCGTTTCGTTGCATTCCGCAATGCCTGCGTGCGTGCGTGCGTGCATGCGTGCGTGCATGCGTGCGTGCGTGCGTGCGTGCGTGCGGGATATGCAGTGGCAGCATCGCTCATGCTTCTATGAGTAACGGAGGTGAGGTAATGACACGCTAGCACCTGCCCCTCACTCACTCGCAAATCACCTACGCTGTCTTTGTATTCCCTCAACACGCGCGCGCACCTACACAGCAACGACGCGTGCACGCACGCACGCGCGCATATACGCATACATAATGCGCCATATATACGTGCAGGTGTAGTGTTAGAGTGATGCATACACGTGTGCACGCACGCACGCGCGCATATACGCATACATAATGCGCCATATATACGTGCAGGTGTAGTGTTAGAGTGATGCATACACGTGTGCACGCACGCACGCGCGCATATACGCATACATAATGCGCCATATATACGTGCAGGTGTAGTGTTAGAGTGATGCATACACGTGTGCACGCACGCACGCGCGCATATACGCATATATAATGCGCCATATATACGTGCAGGTGTAGTGTTAGAGTGATACATACATGGGTGCACGCACGCACGTATATATAACGTGCCATATACGTGCAGGTGTAGTATTATACTTATAGAGTGACACCTTACATGTGTAGCAGCATGGCTGAACAGGTGTTTTACCGAATGTGCAGCTAGCTAAAAACTAACTAGCTTGCCCCGCATGCATGTTTATTTTTCTCTCCCACACGATGTTCACGCAGGCGTGTACAAGGGCGAGCGACTCACTCCCGTATATTGCCACGCTATAATAGGAGTAATTGATATTATACTGTCCTTTTTTTCGATTGTCTCGCACGCTATGGCGTGCCGGGAGAGCTATTCAATGTGTCTATTCACATCGAGCCTGGGTAAATCCACACAATTGCCGCGTGCCATGGAGAGACTATAGGACGAGCTGCACTTCCTGACTGCGCGCGTGACCCCCTCGTAAAATACCAGCACACACACACACAGGCTACGAAATAATAATCATATACATATATAAGAGAGAGAGAGAGAGAACGAGATAGAGTCGCGGTTTTTCCTCCGCCGATGACGTCACCCTCCCCCTCCCCGCCGCCGCTGACGTCACATCGCGCTGCTCATTTCACGCTAGTAATGATAATGGGGGGCGCCGCCGCCGCGCTAGCACGTGTCCTGCCGGAAAGCGCCCGCGACCAATCAGCGTCGAGCTGGCGTCCTTATCGACTGTGCTTATCTGCGTCGATTCATCGGAGCGGGTCGCTGATAGCGCCCGCCGCCCTACCGCGCGTAGCCAACTGCGACGCTTGTAGTACAAATATCTTAATCAGGTTCCGCGCGCAGCCAGCGATAGCAGTTGATGACCGTGTGGCAGCGCGACTGACTGACTTATCTGCACGCTGATCCGTCGTGTACACATACATACACAGATACACACACACACGCACGCGTGGCTGTGTGTTGCGGCGTGGAGAAATCTCTTTCGGTATCAACCCTACGATACGCAGGACGACGTGTGTCCCAAGCTACACGCGTGTATATATATCTCTCTCTAGATATATATATATATCTCTGTATTTACACGCGCGCGCGTGCGTGCGTGTAATATATGCGCGCGTGTACACGCTACACGTGATAGCAAGGCTCGTGTCGGCAGCAGCAGACGAACCGACGATCTAACGACAAGCGGACGAACTCTCGCGAGATCATCTCATCTCTCTCTCTGTTCTTACCTACCAGAGCCGACCGACACACACACACTCGAGCCGACGGCGTCACAGCCGACGTAAAAACCGACGTGGATAGTGAGCAGCAGCAGCAGTGCACACGCCGGGACTAATATAGCAGTGACTCCGTCGCCGACGCCGACGACGACGCCGACGCCGACGCTGAATCCGTCGCCGACGCTAACGCTGACGCTGCAGCAGACAGCATGGATGTGATGGCGACTAGTGTCGACCAGCAGATGCAGGCGACGCAGCCGCATCGCTGGCCGACGATGCATCAGGCGCACCACGACGCGCAGGGTTCGAGTCTCCTGCCTCCCGAGGACGTCGACGTCTTCTTTCACTCGCTGGACAGTAACGGAAATCCGGTGAACGGCTACTACGCGTCGCCGGCGGCCGCGCGCGCGATGCACCACGCCGGCTATCGCTCGCCACACGGTACGTATGCCTTCCATCCACCACCCACCACCCCCCGGGTGTCGGGTTCGAGTCCCGGGTGCGCGTGCAAGTTATTCGCTGCATCCGTGTTTGTGATCAAAGTGCGGGGTCCCGGGTTCGAGTCCTGGGTGCGCGTGTAGTTATTCACTACATACGTGTTTGTGATCAAAGTGCGGGGTCCCGGGTTCGAGTCCTGGGTGCGCGTTGGCGTGTAGTTATTCGAGAGCCCTCCGCGTGTGGCGAACCGACGTGCGGGTCCCTGGTTTCGAGTCCCGCGCGCTGGTGTGTAGTATTCGCTGCCTCCGCGCGCTGTTTGGATCAGCGTGCGGGTCCCGGGTTCGAGTCCTCTCCCGAGATGGACTGTGTGCGTCTGTGAAAGAGACAGAGAGAGAGCGATGAGAGAGAGAGCAGAGAGAAGGAGAGAGGGGAAGCAAGGGAAAGAGAAAGGGAGAGCAAATTATAGATAGAGGAGAGAGTAGAGAGTAGTAGAGAGAGAGAGAGAGATGGAGAGAGAGATGAGAGAGGAAGGGAGAGAGAGAGGAGAGAGAGAGAGAGAGAGAGAGTGGAGGAGAGAGAGAGGAGAGGGAGAGCAGAGAGAGCAGAGAATTTAGATAGATAGATACGATAGATAGATAGATAGATAGAAGAGAGATCAATAGATAGATAGATAGACTAAAGAGAGAGAGAGAGAGGAGAGAAGAGGGAGAGAAGAGAAAA